GGTAGGCCAAGAGCACTCAAGTTTTTGGGATCCAGTGGTAGATAAGATGGAAAAAAGACTTCAAAGTTGGAAGAAGGCCTTCTTATCCAGAGGAGGTAGATTAACTCTGATTCAATCTGTTTTGGGAAGCTTGCCGACCTACTACATGTCTCTGTTCAAAATGCCTTGCGGGGTGATTGGACGCCTAGAAAAACTAATGAAAGGATTTTTGTGGGAAGGTGTGGAGGAAGGAAAGAAAAAACAACCTGGTAAAATGGGAGATAGTTATTAAAAGTAAAGAGGAAGGAGGTTTAGGGGTGGGGAATTTGAGGAATCGGAATGAAGCATTACTTGCTAAGTGGTTGTGGAGATTCCCAAAGGAACCTCATTCTCTCTGGCACAAAGTGATAAGAAGCAAATATGGGCTACAGGATAACGGATGGAACGCATTTCCTCCGATAAGGGGTTCAAGCCGTAGCCCATGGAAAGATATATCGATTGGTTCCCAATTGTTTCTCTTCACTGCTGTAAGTTCGAGGTGGGCAACGGGGAGAGGGTGAGGTTTTGGGAGGATGGGTGGTTAGATGGAGGACCATTGAAAGAGCAATTTCCTAGATTATTCTTGCTATCGAGGAAGCACAATCAGAACATTTCAAGCTTTGTAGATCTTTCTACCAATTCTTTAAGTTGGAATTTTGATTTCAGGAGAAATTTGAATGAGGCGGAGATAGAAGAGGCGGCTAGATTATTACAGAAAGTGGAAGAGGTCCGATTGTCTCAATCAAGAATGGATAACAGAAGGTGGAAAATGGAAGCATCAGGATTGTTCACATGCAAATCCTATTGTTCCTTCTTTGAGTAACAATGGGATGATGCAATACTTCCAACCCCATTCACAGATTTGGAAATCCAAAGTTCCTCCGAAGGTTAAGATTCTTGTATGGCTGGCGGCCAAAGGGAAGCTCAACACTTGTGACCAAATTCAAAGGAGAAGCCCTTTTATTTGCTTATCCCCACAATGGTGCAGTTTGTGCAAAGCAAAGGAGGAGAGTGTAAACCACATTTTTCTCCATTGCTCTTACACGATTCAGCTGTGGTGGAAACTGTTTCAGGAGGTTAGAGCTAGTTGGGTCATTCCAAAGGGTTGTTTCGAGCTTCTAAGCACCAAGTTTCAGGCCCTAGGAAGTGGGAGGAAAGCTAAAGCTTTGTGGGGTTGTCTGGTCTCGGCAGTTTTTTGGAACATTTGGCTGGAGCGTAACAAAAGAATTTTTGAGGATTATACAGGTGTGGGGGTAGAAGTACTTTGGGGAAGAGTAAAATATTGGGCAGCCCTTTGGGCTTCAGTCTCAAATGTTTTTAATAACTACTCTATTTCTCAATTACTGTGGGATTTGTTAGCAGCAGTAAAGTGAGTCTAGCTAATGTTGCTGTAGCCAAATCCTAGTGAGAGTTTTTTCTTGTTTCTTGTTTGGTGGATTTCTTATCCACTCCAGTGTATTTCTCTTTTCTTCTATAAAATGTTTTGTTTCTTCTCAAAAAAAAAAAAAAAAAAAAAAAAAAAATAGTTGTTAAAGCTAAATGTAATTGTTTTTGTTAGTAACTGTGATTAGTTTAGGTAGTTGAGGGTACTTTTGTAATTAGCCTAAGGCAGCTAAGGCTATATATATTGACACCTGTGTAACTGAATTATTCATTCAATACAATCAGGAAAACTTACTATTGAAGTTTTCTGTTTCTATATGGTATCAGAGCCGTTCTGCTTTACAGCACCGACCTTCTCTTCCGCTCGTCATCTCGATCGTGTCTTGATCGATTCTTGCTTTCTTCTCTCTGATTCTTCACTTTTTGTTCTCGATCTCTCTTGAATCTTGTTTTCTGCAAGCTATGGCTGCTCAATCTGCGTCGCAACCGACTGGATCGTCTTCTCCGGTCATCTCTCCTTCGGTTCAAAACCCTAATTCCTCTTCTAATCCGAGTCCTCTGAATTCGTATACCTCTCTGACGATTCACAACATGGGCAGTATGGTGCCGATCAAGCTGAAAAGTTCCAACTATCTGCCATGGCGAGCACTGTTTGCTCCAATTTTCAGGCGATACAAGCTTCTTAGTATTATTGACGGCACTGAGGTTTGTCCTTCGCCATTCTTGCCTGATCGCTCGATGAACCCTGCCTTTGAGGATTGGTATGAAAAAGATCAAAATTTTTGATTTGGCTTAATTCTACCCTGTCCGAAGAGATCATTCCGTTCACGGTTGGAGTTTCTTCTTCTCGTGAGCTCTGGGTAAAGCTTGAACAGCGTTTTGGTGGAGTTTCGGAAGCTCACATTCATCAATTAAGGTCCAGACTTCAATCAATTCAGAAAGGTTCTCAGTCCATTTCTGCGTATCTTCAACAAATCAAGGAAATTGCTGATTCCTTGGAAGCTGCTGGTGCTTCAGTGTCTGATCGTGACCTAATTGCTGCCACTCTACATGGATTACCTGATGAATTCGAGTCCTTTATTGACTCCATCATGCTGCGGCTCTCTTCTACATCCCTTGATGAACTCCATGGTCTCTTACTCACCAAAGAGTTGTCTATGACCCGTCGCAAGGCTGTTCTTTCATCCTCTGAGCCCTTTCAAGCATTCTCAGTGCAATCTCAGCCTCCCCTGCTTCCTACTCCATCTGCCTTTGCTGCTAAAAATCAATCATTTCATCCTGCTTCTCGATTTAACTCAAATCGTGGTAAGACATTTAGAGGTAATTTCTCCTCAAATCGCAGCAATCGCACCTTTCATAACAATAATAGGGGTAATTTCATCAACAATCGTGGCAATCGCAATTATCAAGGCTTTCACAATTATCAAGGTCCTTCCAATTTTAAAGTCCCTTGTCAGATTTGTGGATCTACCAGTCATGAGGCACTTGATTGTTTTGATCGTATGAATCTGGATATCTGTGGTAGAATTCCTCCAGCCAAACTTGCTGCTATGTGTGTGCATCATTCAGCAAAACCCTCTCAGCCTTGGTTGATTAACTCTGGAGCTACTTCTCACATCACTGATGATGTAGCTAACATCTCTTCTCCTACTCCTTACACTGGAGAAGACAAAGTATACATTGGAGATGGTAAAGGACTATCTATTCATCATATTGGTTCTTCATCTCTGCACACTCCTTATACTTCCTTTAAGCTGAGAAATGTTTTACATGTTCCTTTCATAAAACATAATCTCTTATCTGCTTATCAATTTCTTAAGGATAATAACTGTTCATTAACTTGACCCTTATGGATCCACTGTCAAGGATCGCATTTCGGGGAAGATGCTTTTGCAAGGCCCTGTTAAGGATGGTTTCTATCCTTTTCACAGTTCCACCAGTTCTCCCACTTCACCTTCAGCTTTTCTCAGCATTCAAGCACCTGTCCCTGTATGGCACAAGCGCCTCGGCCATCCTTCCTCCTCAATTTTTAGAAGAGTTATATCCACTAATAATCTTCCACTGCAAGGCCAGAAAACTGTTGATTTTTTCTGCTCAGATTGTGCGCTTGCTAAAAATCACAAGCTTCCTTTTGAAGTGTCTTATTCATCAACAACTCAGAGTCTCCAGCTTCTGCATTGTGATCTGTGGGGACCTACTGTTACATCTAATAGTGGCTTCAAGTATTACCTACTGTTTGTTGATGATTTTAGCAAATACAGTTGGTTTTTTCCATTGAAGTCTAAATCCGATGTATTTTCTACGTTTGTTACTTTCAAAACCTATGTAGAAAACTTCAGTGGAAATAAAATCAAGATTCTGCGTTCAGATTCAGGGGGTAAATTTACTAGTCATTCTCTTGCTTCATTTCTTCGTGCACATGGTATATTACATCAGTTCAGTTGTCCTCATACGCCTGAACAAAATGGCTGTGCAGAGAGAAAGCACAGACATCTTGTTGAGACAGCTCGCACATTACTTGTTGCTTCTCATGTTCCTCAAATTTTTTGGGTTGAAGCTTTCTCCACTGCAATTTACCTTATTAACAGACTTCCTATTTCTGGTCTTACAAAGTCACCTTGGGAACTTCTCTTCAATCAACCTCCAGATTACTCTAAACTGAAAGTCTTTGGTTGTCACTGTTATCCATGGCTTAAACCTTACACTCCCAGCAAATTGGATGCTAAGAGCAAAAGTTGTGTATTTTTGGGCTATAGTCTTCAACATAAAGGCTATAGATGCCTTGATCCTCTCACCACTCGGATCTACATATCAAGACATGTTGTCTTTGATGAAACAACTTATCCCTTTAAATCACTGCCACTCAACAGTTTCACTTCAGAAACTTCATCTTCTGATTTTTCACCATCCTTGGATCTTCATTTCAGCAAACATGTCTCTCCTTCTCCTCCAGCCAATAACTCTTCAGAACGACAGTGTCCTTCTGTACCTCAACCTATTACTCAGATCCCATCTTCCACAGAGCCTTCTTCCTGTACTCAGTCCGTGGATCATTCTCTCAGTTCCTCCAGTTCTGTCTCTCTCAATGACTCCTCTCTTTCACCACTACAGTCAAGGCCACCACCTATTTCTCGGAATACACATCCTATGATTACCAGATCTAAGGCTGGTCTTCACATGTCTAGAGCTTATGCAGCAACCAAACACCCACTTCCGGTTGATCTTGATTTTGTTCCTAGTACTTACTTGCAAGCCTCAAAGCATTCTCACTGGAGAGCAGCAATGCAGGAATACCAAAGTTTAAACCCTGAGTTTTCTAGATCATTTGCCTTACGACCAACCCACTTAGTTTCTTGTAGGCACATAATATTTATCCTTCTCCTCACCATAACTTCCACTACTTCCATAGATTTTCCCGTTAAGGTTCCTATATTCCACGTTCCTAAACGCATTTTGCTCTCTTGAACTCTACCCTTCTGTCCTAGCTTCTTCACCCTCCCCCGTCTAATAGAATCAAAGTACTTCTTTTGTGTGTCCTGTGTAAAGTTGATAGGAGCAAAAATAAAAAATAAAAAACTGAATGTACAATATCAGTTTACCTTGGCGGTACTAAATGCATTGAAACCCCTGGTTCATCGGAACCATTGTCGCCAGAAAACATAGTCCCAACACCCGCATGATCATCACTACACATGAAAGTTTAGAATATCAACAATTTTGCACGTATCAGGGTGACCTTAAATATGTAGAAAACTACAGATCTAGATCTATACCTTTGAGATTCCTTATTACGGGGTGAGGCATCTGTGTCTGTTGTCTTTCCATAGTTAGAATCTGAAATTCTCTAGATGGGCTTCCAACAGTACTGCTGGCAAATGGACTGTTCAGAGCACTTTTTGCTGACTCGTCCTCATTTTTATCTTATGCTACTCCATTTTCAACAACCTTGGCATCTGTACTTAGAGGCTTTTTTTACTTAACATCAACTTTAGGTGAAGAAGCAGTTGTTGGACTCTCAAGTGGGGGAGCTTTTTCTTTCTGAACTGATGATGATTTCTGTTTTGGAGGTGCCAAGACATTTGACACATCAAGAGTGAGCTCCTTCACAAAAGTGAATCTGACAATTAAACTTCTCAATCAGTCACCTCGAATAGTTAAATCTCCTGAACAAGTTGGCAAACCATAACCAGAAAACAAAAACTACAATCAGCAGGCAATATGATTCATTTACCACAAGGTGAAAAGGTAAAAGGAATCTAAGTGCAACCAGAAATCTATTAGCAGATGACATATGTCTATAAGCAGGCAATATGCTCAAGTATCCTACAGCATACCTCACGTCTATCAGCAGAGGCCCTTTCTGTCATCGCATTAAGGCAATTGACACATCTACTCTTGTACAAAACCTTATACCAATAAGAAAAATAGATCAGCCAACGTGGTGAACAAAATCTATCTTTATTCCATAACTAGTCCTCACCCAAATATCGTTTTAAAAAAATCCTCGTGTTTCTCTCAAACCAATAGGTCGTACCCAGTGCACAAGGCTCCCGCTTTACGCAGGGTCTGGGAGAGGTGAATGTCGGCTAGCCTTAACCCCATTTATGGAGAGACTGCTCCCAAGTCTCGAACCAATAAACCCCAAAAAATTGTTGGCATACTGCACCCTCACAAAAGCTTCATATCCACCAAACAACTTATGTACCCTGCAGGAATTACCCAACTTACATTTCCTTCCCTACACAATCTCAGCCACACATATAAAGCTACAGGACAATGATAAAACGCATGATCTGCAGTTCCTCCCAAGAGTACTTGTCAATTCAAGAATCAATACCAACTTACACCACTGCAAAAATCAAATAGTAAGAAGTCTGCAGATTATTTAAAAGCAACAAATGATTAGGATGTCCAAAAATCTATCACTCGTAGAACAATTATATTCGAACACAAAAATTAAAACTACTGTAGAATGTTCAATATGCACAACCAATGGCATACAAGAAAGAAAGGGTAGAAATAAACACGAGATACTCACAAGTTCCCGCATTTTGACCCATAAGTATTCAATTTTCTCTCTAGCATCCAATATTTCTTTCTCCAGTTCTTCGACCTGCAAAGAACAAACAGAATTGCATCAAAGGGTGAGGAAAGGCAAGCTGAGATTGGAACAAAACTGCAATAAAGTATGATGAATGCTAATAAAAAAGAAAGTATAATGAATGCCATGCACTAAAAACATGTGAAGTGCCACTCATTAAGATTACTAATATAAAAGAACTAATCATAAACTTCAAAACCCGAACAGCCTCCCTACTTAAACTTGATCAAAATCTTCTCCACAGAAATGAGCGATATTAAGAACAAAGTAAAACCCACAATCACAAGAATTCCAAGTCTTTGGGATATTTGTTATGATTTGACACTTATCAAGAAGTAACATGCACACATAACTTTGCTGCTCAAGCTGAAAAAATTGGGGAAACATTAAAGTCCTAAGTACTATCAGCTTTGGTTGCTTCTTTGAACTTTGAGTTCAGTGGGTTAACCTCCTCTGTACTCAGTTGATTTACAAGATGTTTCTCCAATTCTGGTACTCTAGGTTTCTGCTGATTGGCCTGCTGCTTTACCTAAGCATGAGAAAGAGCGACTGGCTTCGGAGGCCTTCCTCCAGCTGGGGCTGCCATGTGCAGAGCACCAGGACCAGGCATCAGTTGCTGTTGTTGAAAGCCTTTCAAAGTGAAAAATAAGAAACTATTCTCCATCAAAGAAAGACATATGGTTTTTGAAAAAAAAAAAATGGAATTTGTTTTATGGATGAATGCCAGATGCAGGTCTCCAGAATACACTGCCAGCAGTGGAGTAATTACTTCCAGGTTGAAAAATATTGGTTATATCAAACGCATCATGCAAAGAATGAACTTCCAGCAGCAAAGCATCTTGCAGAAAAATATGCTTGATCTAGCCTGTTACGTTCAGGAATTCAAGCTAAATGCCACCAACTAAACATTGTCAGTCGTCCACCACCCAGAAGAGGAAAAATAAACAACTTTAACTCCGGGATAAATCAAACATAACATTGTTTGGTAGCGCTTCTGGAAGAGGGCGCCCCTCCCAAAACCACTCCATCAAGGATCATGTGGCATGATGGGTAGTAATTCATCAATCTAGACTGCACATTTGACTCAATTTAATAGTACTTATGGATGATTGTATGTCAATTGGCCAGCAAAAAAATAATCCCAATTACAAATAAAATTTTATATCTACAAAATATTTTTGGCATCAAGTAAGTTTTTACATCAAAATACAAACACATCATGCAAAGAATGACAATCCAGCGGCAAAGCATCTTGCAGAAAAATATGCTTGATCTAGCCTGCTATGTTCAGGAATTCAAGCCAAATGCCACCAACTAAACATTGTCAATCATCCACCACCCAGAAGACGAAGAATAAACAACTTCAACTCCAGGATAGGGATAGTACAAGTTTTGCAAAGATGCATCAGTTCAGTTACATTACAACTACATTATTGTAATGTAATAAACAATCCTAGGTCAATCCTTGGGTCATATAACACATATCTAAAGTCTGCTTACCACATAATGTCGAACGGACACACCATAAGTAAATTAATGACCTAATAACATAACTCTCTCAACCTCACTATCTGTAGTATAAATCCTTCATCTACTTATTTTCTACCATTTTAACATCAATTCCGCATTTATAATTATACCAACACGAAATAAAAATCTCAGCTTAGATCAGAGAATTACGACATCCCGAGCTCGCATTAACTACTTCAACTACAATTAGACTACAAATTCAAAATCAATTGATTTGGAACACATTTCCACCAGCATCAAATCCCGATCAACCACTATAATTACACAAATATACTCATCCAATTATACATATAAACACAAGCACATACATATATATAGAGAGAGAGTACCTGCGCTAGGACATGTTTGGGGAGACCGGAGCCCTGGAAGAAAGCGACGGCTTCATTGCCACTAATCCGGCCGGTACAAACCGGTTCGTCGGAAATACGCATCGAAGAGATCCACATTCGCCGATTGGTTCTGCGCCGACGCCATCGCCACCGTCGGATTGCGATTCGCCGAAGATCAGACCATGGAATCAATGGAGAGGAGCACCGGGAAGAATCAGAAAACCACGAATTCGGAGGACCAAGATTTCGATGCCTTAGAAAACAACGACGTACAGCGAGGATTTGGTTGCCCTTCTTCTCCGATTAGGAGGATAGTCAGAAGACAGACGGAGACACGGAGAGATGCCAATAGTTGAGGGGTAAAAAGTAAAAACGATGGTTATTCGATTTTTCCTTCTTATTTTTTGTGACAAAAATGGTACCGTATTGCTGTGATTTCAAAACTGCCACTGGCTCTAATGAGCCCGGCCCATTAAGTATTTACCAACTCGTTCTCAATGATGAAAATTGACCTGAACCAAAAATGAAGGTTGATGAAATAGATCTGATGATGGCTTTGTGAGGAGGACCATTTCCAAGGGAGAATGCTAGCCGGACTCGCCCCAAAAGCAAGTCCAGTCTGACTTCAATTTTTAGTGTTCCTTACGTCCTACTGTTAATATAAGCTAAGAAAATTATCATTTAAATTTATATTTCTTAAGAAAACAATCTTTGCATTTGTTGTTTCTTGTCATACAATTCATGAATTTAATACCTTTTCATTCAATTGGTATTCTGAGTAAATACACAACTAGTAATGAAAGAAAAGTACCTAGCTTCTTTCTTTTCTTAACTATGTTTTTTCAGCTCATGTAATGTTTTTCTCAAGCTTAGATTGTAACCCAATCCATAAGCAAGTGAAAAACAGAAGTTCTATATTGTATGTTAGTTTTGATCCATATCTAAAAATTCTATGCATGGGTACAAGAAAATTATCTTTTTGGCAGCAAAGAAGAAAGAAGAGTGAAGTACGAAACAATAATGTGAAAAAGTTAGACGTAGAAAACAAGATATTTTTATTTGTTGTGGTCTATTTTATCTGACAGAGGGACTAGGGCCGGCGGCAGAGAGAGAGAGGAGAGAGATGTGTGTTTGTAGAATTGTAGGGGAATGTGTGTGTTGTTATCCCTCCTACATTGTGCCTTTATTTATAGTAGTAAAGGGAGAGAAGATATTCCTTCTTCTCCAAGTAATACAAGTTGTAATAGGAAAGGATAACTAGAATCAAATCTTATCTAGGATTTACACAATCATACTTAAACTAGGAATGTTTACAACACTCCCCCTTGAGTGGGTAAATACTCAAGGTAGATTCAGCATCATGCAGAAGTTGAGGAAGTCGACTCGTCAGCACTGATTCCAAGGAACAACGCTTATTTCTCAATAAGGTAGGAACTTGCATATAAGTAGTAAGTCTCACTAAAAAAAACCCTAAGGCTATGGCAAAAACCCAAGTAGGGACAAAATCCATAGTCTAAGGAAAAATGCGTGAGAAATGCAAAGTCAAAAGAAACGTCTACAGGACGTCATCAGGGATATGACCAGCCCAAGGTGGGTGCCTCGTTAAAACCTAGTTAGGTAGCAAAAACCCAGTGGGAAAAATGCTCCTAATCGTAGGGAAAAAGAGTACATTAAGATCAAGCAAGTATCTAGAAGATACTCCCCCTGAGTTTGACATAATTCCAAAGAGAAATAGCAAAGTTACAACTCAGAAAGTTTACGCATACCAATTCCATGAACAAGCTTCTGAAACGTCGCCTTCGGTAGTGATTTGGTGAAGAGGTCGGCCAGATTGTCTTGTGATCGGATTTGCGTGACTTCAATCTTCTAATGCTCTTGTTGTTAATGTGTAAAGAAGAACTTCGGCGCAATATGCTTGGTGTTGTCTCCTTTGATGTAACCCTTCTTGAGCTGTTCGATGCAAGCTGCGTTGTCTTCAAAAATCGTCGTCGGGGCATTAACGGCGGGATGAAGATCACAGGAGCTTCGAATATGGCCCACTACTGCTCTCAACCAAAAACATTCCCGAGTTGCTTCATGTAAGGCGAGAATTTCAGCATGGTTAGACGAAGTGGCAACTAAGGTCTGTTTAGTTGACCTCCAAGATATTGCGGTGCCTCCAACGGTAAAGACATAACCCGTTTGAGAACGCGCCTTGTGCGGATCAGATAAGTATCCAGCGTCGGCATAACCAACAAGGCGAGAATCAACCTGATGAGCATAGGGTGCGGCATCACTCGAGGATTCGTAGGGATAGAATAAGCCCAAATCCGTAGTACCCTTAAGGTAACGGAAGATGTCTTTCACGCCAGTCCAATGTCTGCGTGTTGGTGCATTGCTGTATCTTGCCAAAAGATTAACAGCGAAGGAGATGTCGGGTCTAGTGCATCTTAGATAAGGAACTTCAGGCTCCAAAATCTCTTCATCATCCTCCTTCGGACGGAAGGGATCTCGCTTTGCATCTAGCGTACGAACGACCATAGGAGTACTCGAAGGCTTCGCTTTATCCTCATTAAAAGGTGTAGTTCGATTGATGTACTAGGATTCCATCCGAACAATGCTCTATCTCGAGACCGAGACAGTATCGAGTCTTACCTAGATCTTTCATCTCAAATTCCGACTTCAGGTGCGAAGCAGTTCTCGCGAGCTCTTCAGGAGTTCCGATGAGATTCATGTCATCGACATATACTGCAACAATCGCAAATCCGGAATGTGACTTCTTAATGAACACACAAGGGCATAGTTTGTTATTCACATATCCCTGACTAGTCAAATACTCACTTAAACGGTTATACCATATTCTTCCGGATTGTTTCAAACCGTATAGTGAACGCCTCAGCCGAATTAAGAGCGTGTTCCGGGGTTTGGAAATATTTGAACCAGTCAATGTAAGTCCTTCGGGAACTTTCATATAAATTTCCGTATCAAGATCCCCATAGAGATACGCGGTTACTACGTCCATCAGCTGCATATCCAGTTTTTCGGAAACTACCAAACTGATAAGGTATCGAAAAGTAATCACATCCATAACGGGTGAGTAAGTTTCGTCATAGTCAATCCCGGGGCGTTGTGAGAAACCTTGTGCTACAAGACGAGCTTTGTAACGCACAATTTCGTTCTTCTCATTACGCTTCCGAACAAAAACCCACTTGTAGCCAACGGGCTTCACATGTGGAGGAGTAGGAACTACAGGTCCAAACACCTTACGTTTTGCAAGTGAATCAAGTTCGACTTGGATTGCTTGTTTCCAGTTTGACCAATCAGCTCTACGTCGACATTCATCAACGGAACGCGGTTCAATGTCATCGCTCAACATGATCTCAGTAGCTACTGCAAATGCTAATGCATCGTCGACAATCATCTCATTTCTACGCCACACATCATCTAAGCTAGCATAATAGACCGAAATCTCACGATTCTCGGGAGGAGGATTCGTCTCTTCAAGGACGCTTCCATAATCTAGAATTTCCTCATGAGTTGGGTAAAATGAGTAAGCGATAGTCGGATTCACGGTAGGCTCTTCAGGACCTTGTGCCGTGGTTTTCCTCTTCCGGGGGTGTGAATCCCTTGAACCAAGGGGTCTGCCACGCTTTTGTGTAGGGGCAGATGATTGGCTAGCCGCTAATGTACGTGGATCACCAGAATTGGCGTCCCGGGCTTCCAGGAGGGTAGTCCGTCGTACATTTGGTACATCCATCTTTGCAGGCGTATTCGCAGCTGGAATATGTGATCTTGTCACGCGCGCTAGATCGGTGAAAGCATCTGGCATGCTCTGAGTTATGCTCTGGAGATCTAATATGCGCTGCACTTCAGCTTCAGACTGAGCGGTGCGGGGATCTAAATGAGACAAAGTGGGAGTCGTCCACGATAATTCGCGTCGTTCATTAGGAACGTTGACGCTCTTATCTCCCCCTAACAACGGGAAGACTGTCTCATAGAAGTGACAATCCGCGAAACGAGCGGTAAACAGATCGCCTGTCAAAGGTTCTAAGTAACAAATAATCGAAGGAGAATCATATCCGACATAGATTCCCATCCTTCGCTGAGGCCCCATTTTTGTACGTAAGGGCGGCGAGATCGGCACATAGACCGCACAACCAAAAACACGCAGATGCGATATGTCGGGTTCGCATCCGGTGACCAACTGAAGGGCACTAAATGGTTGTGTCGCAACAGGCCTCAGGCGGACCAACTTTGCTGCGTGCAATATTGCATGGCCCCAAGCAGCGATCGGGAGCTTGGTACGTATGACCAACGATCGAGCAATCATTTGTAAACGCTTAATGAAAGCCTCTGCCAGGCCGTTCTGCGTGTGAACATGGGGTACAGGATGTTCAACTTCAACCCCAACCGACATGCAATAGTCATCAAAATTTTTAGATGTGAATTCTCCAGCATTATCCAATCGAATAGATTTGATCGGATAATCAGGGTGGTGAGCCCTGAGCTTGATAACCTGAGCCAACAGTTTGGAGAATGCAGCGTTCCTTGTGGACAACAAGCACACGTGTGACCAACGTGTAGAAGCGTCAACCAAAACCATAAAATATCTAAATGGTCCGTAGGGAGGTTGAATCGGTCCACAAATGTCCCCCTGAATCCGTTGTAGAAAAATGGGAGGATTCGAACGAATCTTGTCATAAGAAGGCTTAGTAATAAGCTTTCCCATAGAACATGTTTGACATGCAATTTCATGGATCGAACCTAAGCTTCGGGTTAGTGGATGCCCGTGTGAAGTTTTGAGGATACGGCGCATCGCTATTCGTCCAGGATGTCCCAAACGATCATGCCAAAGTGTAATTTCGTGCGCGGTCCCTGTGGTAGGGCCGGCCACATAGTGGCATTCTATGGGGCGTATGGTCGTAGTATACAGACCACTCGGGTTACGCTCCATCTTCTCTAGAATACGCTTCTGGCCATATTCGTAGGAAGTTACGCACAGAAATTCAACTCCGTTTTCTACGTGGGTTTCAGCGTGGTAATTGTTATCTCTAATGTCCTTGAAACTTAGTAACGTTCTTCCGGAACGTGGAGAATAGAGTGCCTCAGCAATGGTCAAGATTGTACCATTGGACAACATTATACGTGCCTTACCGTATCCTTCGATCAGGTTGGATGGGCCTGAGAGGGTTGTCAGAGGTGCATTCTTAGGTACGAAGTTAGTGAAATAGATGCGTTCACGCAAAACAGTATGCGTGGTTGCACTATCTGCCAGACAACTAACTTTCCCACTAGTCATACCTAGAATGAAAAATTAATTTGAATCGGTCACATGTATAAAAGTTTATAAAAACAAGTATCAATTCAAAATAATTTCATTTATTCAAGGATTAAAAACTTAATATCCAAAATAAATCGCCAACTAATAATCCAAAACATAAAGGAAAATTGT